GAGAGAGAGAGAGAGAGTAAAATGAATATAACGGAAAGGAGGCCAAAGGAAGGGGTTACGGGAATACAAGGGGTGATTAGAACTTTACGTTGTCAATTTAAGGTCCTTGAAATGTGACTTGTCGATGTTAAGGCCAGTGAGACAAAATTGGTCACTTTCGTGTAAGCACATGTTTTGCATCTAGGTTTTTGACAAGGATAATTTTGAGGCGTGGAACATGGGTTTATCGCAGGTGAGGACGTGAGTGTTACTGCTCTAGTACGAATGAGGAGGTTGCCAAGATTGGGAGGCTGACGAAGTGCAATCAAAGGAGGATCGGGGAAACAGGCTTTCATTTTGTCTGATGTTTCCAAGATGCTTTTGTGTTGGTTATGGATTTTATGTAGATTAGGTAGTTTTTGGTGATGAGTTGTGGCGAAAAATTGTCTTTTCTGTTTGAGCGTAGGGGTTTGTAGGTCAGAGGGGTTATGAGGTTCAATTTGCTGACTTTCTCGATAATGGTTTGCGGTACCCTCTGTGCAGAAGGTTGGCTGTGAAATCCTCTATCCGTTGTTTAAAAAGAATGTTCACGGGAACAAAAGCGTTGGAGTCTACGTGCACCACTATAGACCACAGAACCAAATATATGTCTGGGATGGTTTGAAGAAGATGGGAGGTAACGATTTAGTCTGTGGGTTTTTATTATACAGGTCTGTCTCAATTTGGATATATCTATCTGCAATGAGAAGGGACATGTCCAGGAAAAGAGTGGACTTTCTTGGGCTGGAATAAAGTAAATTTGATGTAGTGGTTCGTCTTGTTCAGATCAGTGTGAAATTTTGGGTTGTTTCAAAGCATCCATTGCTCAGGGCGATAATGTCATCCATGTAATGCATAAGTACAGATGGTTGGTTGGGAAGAGGGGAGACGTATTTGCGCCAAAATTCAGCCATAAAAATGTTGGCATGAGAGGGGGCCACTGGGGTACCCATCGCTGTGCCTGTCAGCTAGAGAAAATTTTAATTGTTGAAAGAAAATATATTGAGGGTGAGGACTAGCTTCAACAGTTTGAAAATTTCTAAAGTTTGACGTGTGTTGTAGGGTGCCAGGCTTCTGAGGGCTAAGCGGCACGCCTCAACACCTTCTTGGTGTGGTATGT